TGTTATTACCAAAGAAGTGCAACTGTATTCTTCTATTCAATTTACTGAAATTATACCACGATCAATGATAACTAACACAATTTGATCTCGAATAAAAACCAAACTTCTATGAACAAGCTTCCTATCTCTTACCACCATACTCTTAAAGCCTCTTCCGATAATGCAAGATTGCTGCTTTTTTAAATGAAAAGAAAAGGATGCCAAATGAAAGTGTCAAATCTTTTCTACAAGGGTATGTTGAAAGCTTTTGATCTATTGCAAGTCTTTTTATATTTTTACCAACTATGGATTCTTTTACGATCATTTATCAAGTCTATACATTTTACATAAAGTTATGAGATGAGAAACTTGACTTATGTACTCTTTTCGATTTGAGATATCATTTCAATGCAATATATTTCATTTGCTCTGAAATGATGATAACTATTGGCTTAAGAGAGATAAAAGCTTTTTCTTTTCAGTCAAATCTCATCTTGACTCTCCTCTATTCACAACACGAATCTTAAGTATTAACTCTCAATAGCTGCTGAAATAAAGCTATTTTACGATCATCAGTCATTGTCGAAATTTGACACACTCGTCGAAAAAAAATTCACAACTCAGTCGATTGATATTATTGTCGCCTAAAAATTGCACTAGATACTCTAAAATATGAAGATTAATTAGTCTATGATTTGATATGTTCATTGAAAATGAGCATTCACTATTGAAACTTACATAGAGATACCACAGTTGCTCAAACTACCATATATTTTGTGCTTATTGACCGTCATAATCATGTAAAAAATATCATAAAACCTCAGGGAAATGGTATTCATAGATAAAATATTGTGAAGACGACTTTACATTCGCCCGAATACATATTCATTTCATTTATTTTGCATTTTTCTTTCATTTCCTTTATACTTGCAAGCAAAATTAATAACATATTTGATATTAGCAGATAAAATTGTGTCGTGACACCTCCATATCTTATTGCATTCGCGACTTATACACAGGTCAAGGAAGTTCAAGAAAAACGTACTTTACAAGCAATTTTGATACGCAATGGGTTAAGGTGTGCTTAATATTTATATAATACTATTTGTTAGCTAATTTACGATAAAACACTTCTTTTTTCAAATTATGTAGGAAGCTAGAAATATCTAAGTAAATACGTAGCAACGAAATATTATGAAATAGAAGATTGAGACAGTGTATTATACGAGAATTTGTTTGAACATCATAATCTCTTTAGCTAGTGAGAGTGTACCGAAGACCGATATCAAAATATTATGAAATGCTAGTCATTGAATATTAAAGCAATAGAGTAGCAAGAAAAAACGATATTGATATTTAGATTTTTAGTAGCCTATGTAGGACTTGCAACATATTTTCTATTATAATAAAACAAATCTGAGGCGTCAGAGTTTTGACGATGTATAGAAGACATAGAATTTATTCTTATTTAACAATAAAAATTAAATACTTGCAATTTTGTACATAAAAACATTTAAACATACTTTGAAAATGAAATTATAATTAAATATTTAACGAATAATAAAGCATGCTACTTGTGGAAATGTTAAATATTTTAATTTTTTTGTCAGAATCGAAGGAGGCTATTTGAAAGAATAAAAAAAGACAAGCATCAAAAGAAAGGTTTACATAAGAACTTCTGTGAAAAATGTTATCGTAACTTGAATTTATTTATCAGTACTTATTTTTATCAAAATAAGAGATCAGTAGAAAATAAGTAGCTATGAGATAAGAGGATGAAAACGTAAAAAAAAGTAACTATGTTTTTACAAGTCTTTAAAATACACTTGAAAAAATGCAAAGCTCTTTGTTTCTTATAGAAGAGTGTTTATGTACGCTTAATTCTTTTAGCATACTTTTAGAAATTAGCCAGGTCGCGTCTCGTAAATAGTTAAGCGTTTATATAATTTCCGTCTGAGCTGAATGAAAGAATGCGTAGGATATTAAAAACAAGTTAGTAACGCTGTAGAAGTTTTTTTTGACGCAAATATCTGATTAATTATTACAAACCTGTAAATCCAAGGTAAACAAATGTAGTAGATAGAGAAAACAATGTAATACTAAAAAAGAATTATTACAGTTCAACCGCTGACTATGGCATGCTCTA